ATTGCAACGCTACGCATCCTTGTAGAAAAGAACATAGAGCGGTAGTCAACTCAGATCAACGTCTACTATTGAAGAGGCCTTCGATCAAGGTGTCGAACGATAAGTAGTTTGTCAGCTGCCTCACACTACGCGAAAAACCGTTATCAACGTCACTCAGCAGCTATATCCAATATGATGCTACATGCCAAGTGATTCAGAATGAAATGCTCAGTGATACTTCTAAAGTGAAGACAGGAAGGAGTAAAACAAGGCCGCCTACTATCACCGATCATCTTTCTAATTGTGGTCGACTGGACTGGACCATGCAACAAGCTGTGAAGAGCGAGAAGGTGGGCATACGCTGGCCGGACAAGTAAAAAGATCCCAGAAGAAGATTTGGATTTCGCTGCAGATGATGACTTATGTCTGGTATCGTGCAAACTCGATGATCCACAAGCAAAAGCCAACAATTTGGGAGAGGAGGTGAGGCAACGAAGACGGGACTTCCTTCAGGTGAACGTAGAGAAGGCAGAGGTGAGGAAGATACCCAACCACCATCACCACCACCACCACCACCACCACCAACAACAACAACAACAAGCACCAATCGCCATCAACGGGAGAAATCTAAACGAAGTTGTCTCTTTCACCGACCTAGGTAAGACAGCATCGTCTCAACTACAGGCAGTGGCGGCGGCACAGATGAGGATGTCAAAACCAGGATAGGAAAAGCAAGACACGGCTTCCTTCATTAATCTGAAATCAGTGTGCAGATCTACAGCACTCCACTCAGAGTAAAGCGTGAACAAGATCCGGATTTTCAACACTAATTCACTCAAGTCAGTGCTTCTATGTGATGGTTGAGAGACTTGGCAGTGCGTCACGAAAAGCATTTCCAACAATCTGCAGACATACATGAACAGCTGTCGTTTACGCCCTCTCGATACTGACACTGACATTGACACTGAAGATCAGATAGATGGTGAGAAAGAATAAGCAACAATAAACTCACTCTGGCTGGCTGGCAACAAACCAACCAACAACCTATCGCCCAACAAATATGCAGAAGAAAGTGGAGATGGACTGGATTGGATTGGACTGGACTGGAAATACACTGAGAACATTTGGGTACACCACGGGTCAGATCACACCCTGGAGTGGGAAACTATGAGTTGGGCGTCCAAGGCGAGGGTGACATGGAGGAGATGGTGTGAGGAAGAAATGAAAGGTTGTGGGCAGTCGTGGCGCCAGGTTGAGAAGACTGCAAGGAACAGAGTGAAATGGCGATGTGCTACTGAAGCCGTATATTCCACTAGGAACCCAAGGGACAATTAGTAATATCAATAATATTGACATCACTCGAGTGCAATAAGCATTTTGTCTGAGTATATTATTCTGGTAGTGAACTTGCTGTTTATTCCTTTCTGTATAAAAGATATGTTTAGAATAAAGCGATTATTATTAGTAGTAATAACAGTAGTACTAGACAAGTAAGTGAAGACAGTCAGTGAGATCGTGGACCTCCAGCGACTGAGGTAGCCAGAATATGTATTACGTTTAATGACCTAAACCCTACTTTGACATCCAGTGCTTCGACTCGGTTGGTAGTGTTCAGGGTGGCCAGACCAAAATGTGGAACCAGTCCATGAAGATTCTGACTATTGGTCTGAGTTGTTTCGAAGAGGTGTAGACTGCCTGGCAGGGTCCTCCACACCATAGTAATTAGTTGTTCTCTACATGTTACTGTGAAATGTGGCAAGTTGAACCGATTCACTTGTTGACGAAGTTCTGTGTTGATTTTGTCTGGTATGTAAGGACAATTGTGCAGCTTTATAAAATTCCATCTCCTAAGGAGGGAGTTTTCTTCACAAAATTATTCGACTATGGAATATGTACATTTTCTAATAGCTCGAGTGTCTTTTTCCATCTAGTTGTAATTCATGGACTCACTATTCACCCACACAAGCGTAAGGGTTTCAAATAAAAAAACCGCTGGTCAAAAAACGGGTTGCTTGTATCTCACCTTATAGTCAATCTAATTTGTTATTCAGAGGTGTCAGAAAGCAACTTAACTAGTCACTCTATTGACTAGTGAAGTAACTAAGCAACATTATTGATGGATTTTGGCTAGCAAACGGATGCAAGACGCGCGTTTCGTCCTATTTGGGACTCGTCAGGTGGATGTGTATCAGTGAGTGCTATCGTCGGTACTGAGACTGAAACACAGAGCGAATGGCTTCAAATGTCAGAGGATTTTCCACTGTGTTACTGAGTCATGATACCCGCTGCTTGCGCGACGGATGTAGTAGCATAGCTTATCAGTTCGGTCTTGTTTATGACGTGAAATTACAGGTTATAATATACCTAAGCCAAATTATTTTATTTCCCAAGAAAACTATTGATTCAGCTGAAATAAGAAAAAGCTAATTGGTTATCTTAGCGGTTTCAAGGTTGACCTCTGTAGTCACTCAAGGGAGTCAAATACAAGTGGTATGTACTAGTGATTTATATAACTTAACCAACATGAATGTGCTAAAGTGTTACTATTAGAACACAAACCTGGTACAGCAAGAGAACTAAGAAATGTACTACACAAAATAATATAACAACATTATGAAGACATAAAGAGAAGAGAAGTGGATAAAAATAAATCACAATAATAATAGAATGGTTAGAATAACAGAACAGTAAGATATATTCATTACTTTAAGCAGCAGAAGATAGAAGGAAGGTTGAGCATGAGCGCTACTAGTTTCGATTCTGAGCCATATATGATAACGTCTAAAGGCAGTGATTTGCCTGATCTCTCAGACCCCACCCAGAGAGTCGTGATGGACCAACCTAATACAACTATCCTTTATCCAATCGCGCCGCACCATGCGCTTACTACCCCTTCGCTTTTTCCATCCAGTCCCAGGGTTAGGAAACAATGAACTTCATGAAAACCGTTGAGACGTTTTGCGTAACACATGTTCAAGCCACCGAAGTTGGTGTTTTCAAATGACTTCACTTAATGGATGACGACCTCCATCATGTCCAAACACACGCTGTTGTACCTCAGAGTTACTTACAAGGTGTTGGAGCCAGATACGAGCAATCCTATGGAAACAAAGATGGTCGAACTCATAGAGTCATCTCATATCCTCAACTGGGAGAGGCCAGGTTTCACAGGCGTAGAGCAAAACTACTCGCACGGAAGCGTTGTTAACCCCAACATTTTACGGTTAGACTAACTTCGTGATGGCGTCAAAGATGCCCCAGATCGATGTATGCCCATCTAGTTTTCGATATCCGGTTACGAATTTCATCACTCACACCTCCACCAACACTCACGCACCTACCCGGATTCACGAACTTTTCGACTACTCCCAACAGCTACGCCCTGAGGATGAGATCAGGCACAGTACAGGCTGCTGTGAATCTTGCAAAAGTACTTTGCACTTCGATACTGCCAAGTAGATACTATACTTACTAACGCTAAATGCCAACCGATGAAATGCAAAAATCATGACCGCAGTTATGCTACAAATCACATGATGAAGTTAAGGGTTATTCGTCGTTACAATGAAAGAGGTTGTTGTACAACTGGGATGGCAGTATTTCCATAAATTTGAGGGAAACCATTTGTCTATTTCAATAATTTGTACATCGGTTCTTAAAATCACGTGACTGGCCTTTATTATAAGCCGTGAAGGACAGACAATATCGCCACGCTGAAACCGCAATGATGCAAGACAGTGGCCAGAGATATTTGGAAAGTGTGCGCTTCGTGTAACCTATATAACTAGCTCCACGAGACCACGTAAATTTTTAGACAAACACTGAGGCGGCCTAATGCGGCAACTCGTCCGTAACATACTCCGGAACCAACTACTGACTAGAGAAGCTCATCTGAAGCTTCGAAGAGAAGAATATCTTCTTCAGCGATCGGCACAGGCTATTCTGCAGGAACTCAGCTGCCATATCCCCTTTGCCTTTCAAACAATATTAACCGGATTAAAACACCAACTCCTAATAGTTAGGAGCTAGCCAACTAGGGGGGGGGGACAGAAAACCACCAATGAGAATGCATAACCCCAAAGAAGTGAGTGAAAAGAGCCTAGAAGAAGATTTGGATTTCGCTGCAGATGATGATTTATGTCTGGTGTCGCACAAACTCGATGATCCACAAGCAAAAGCCAACAATTTGGGAGAGGAGGTGAGGCAACGAAGACGGGACTTCCTTCAGGTGAACGTAGAGAAGGCAGAGGTGAGGAAGATACCCAACCACCATCACCACCACCACCACCACCACCACCACCAACAACAACAACAACAAGCACCAATCGCCATCAACGGGAGAAATCTAAACGAAGTTGTCTCTTTCACCGACCTAGGTAAGACAGCATCGTCTCAACTACAGGCAGTGGCGGCGGCACAGATGAGGATGTCAAAACCAGGATAGGAAAAGCAAGACACGGCTTCCTTCATTAATCTGAAATCAGTGTGCAGATCTACAGCACTCCACTCAGAGTAAAGCGTGAACAAGATCCGGATTTTCAACACTAATTCACTCAAGTCAGTGCTTCTATGTGATGGTTGAGAGACTTGGCAGTGCGTCACGAAAAGCATTTCCAACAATCTGCAGACATACATGAACAGCTGTCGTTTACGCCCTCTCGATACTGACACTGACATTGACACTGAAGATCAGATAGATGGTGGGAAAGAATAAGCAACAATAAACTCACTCTGGCTGGCTGGCAACAAACCAACCAACAACCTATCGCCCAACAAATATGCAGAAGAAAGTGGAGATGGACTGGATTGGATTGGACTGGACTGGAAATACACTGAGAAGACCGTTTGGGGGCATCACGCACTAGGCTAGGGAATCGAGTGGAGGCTGAATGAGAAAGTATGAGTTGGGCGTCCAAGGCGAGGGTGACATGGAGGAGATGGTGTGAGGAAGAAATGAAAGGTTGTGGGCAGTCGTGGCGCCAGGTTGAGAAGACTGCAAGGAACAGAGTGAAATGGCGATGTGCTACTGAAGGCGTATATTCCACTAGGAACCGAAGGAAAAATATGACAATAGATAATACATATTTTTTTCAAAGCAGAAAATGACACTTAAGTATAAATATTTTCGTCTACACTTCAATAAATGAATAAATAAATTGCAGTTTTACACATAAACATAAAGAATATTTCAATTAGGTACCAAAAGTTTCAAAATACGCTTCATTCATTATACAGAGCAATTAAATAACAAGTAGGTATTAATAGCGTGCAAATACAGATCATGATTTTTTGCTTAATGTTTCGCCATGTGCACAGACCTTTTGTACTGCGGCCATAAGTGTAGCTCTCAGACCACCTTTTTCCAATGCATAAACGCCTTGAATTGTTGTCCCACCGGGTGAGCATACATCATTCTGCATTGGATAAAATACAATAAAAACTTGACTTGATTCAATTTATAATAGCGTAATTTTAAGCAATAAAAACTAAATGACATGCTTTAAGATGAATATCCCAAAGTTTCAATAAGAAGCCATGATAGGTGGGCCAAACCCAGTCGGATATGAAGTGGATGCCAACTGAAGACTTTCGAAGATAGTCTCACCGTATCATGAACTGGTAGAAGTAGAAAACTATGGACCCACTTTGAATTAGTGGATGGATGTCTAGCGTGTTTGTCAAGAGACCCAAAGATCTTGAGTTCAATCCCTGGTGGGGTAGGGTCATAGGTGCCTGGCGCTGAGGAGTCCTATGCTAGGACGAAACACCCATCCAGTACTCCTAACCTTTCAGTAGTTCTCCAACTGGTTTTCTACTTTGATGAATACCATCTTGAAATGAAAATCACTCAAGAGTATCAAGAAAAAGGTGAATGAAATATTCACCTGTATGATATGTCAGAGAAAAAAAATGGACGAGAAGCTAATCAACTGTGTACGGTTTAATTCGTCGAAATCTGACTTGCATGGATTGTAAGAGAGCAAATCAAGTGTAACACCATTGAAAATAATGACCTAATAGGTGGAAATTGAAATACATGTTAACATAAAAAGCAACAGAAGTACAAATATCATAATTACAGTTGTTAGAGTCTTATTGAGGCTTAACCACTCACTGAAGATGTTAACTGGTTGGATGCAGCCAGTAAGAATCTCAGCTTAAAGTGGGTTTCGTCCTTGTTAGCACCCGACAGCGTAATGGATTTGCAATCTCTTCGGAACTGATATCCCCTCTGGAATCCCACACCACGCCACCCGATGTTGTATTCAGCGACATTACCTTTGATTATCCCAGTTTACAAAAAAGGCAAGACGCTTTCGTGCGATAACCACAAAGGAAGCCTTATGGAAGTGTCTCTCATTAAAAGGGTATCCGAATAAGTACATCACCCTGTTGAGGGCTTCTCACTTGAACACCTTTGTGCGTGTTATAGCTTATAGTTAGACATAGTGTGACTTGTATACATCGAGTGGTGTCCGTCAAGGGTACCCACTCTCTCCATTCCTATTCAATTTCATCATAGATGTTCTTATAGAGGTCTCCTTCTCGACATCCAACTACATAGGAATTAACCTAATCACAGAAGAACCTTTGGTAGTTTGATGAGCAGTACACTTGACTCTTTATGAATATCCAAATATCTAACCAGCACAATAGTTGACGAAATACAATTGGACCCTTTGTATCTACACCAAGTCTACTGTGTGAAGGTTATTCATACTACTTAGCTGTTCAAATATGAGTAAGGAGGTCAGTGTTCCAAACTGTGATCTATTGGTTGAATTGTTGCATTTTCACGATAGAATACAACTCCACAAGTTGGTCTTATTTTGGTAACTTATAAATCTTTCTGTAAGATTTGTCAGTAGAGTGTACTGATAATTAACGACACTTCTGGTTGAGGTAAGCACTACAAACGGAGAGTCAAACTATATCATGAATATGATGATTTTGAAAGTGGAAACCGCTGGAACTGGTTACACATCAAATCACCATGATCTAACTTCTGTTCCGACAATATCTATCAGTACCTGATTCCAAGAATACAAATTAAAAGAAAATATCAACTTATTTCAGGTTGGAATTCAACATGGAGTGAAGCGAGTTGGAGAAACAATGGAACCTGGAAGCACTGGAGAGGTGTTTCGTTCTAGTATGGAACTTCTCAGTAGTGTGCACCCATGACCTCTAGTCGTTACCGGTGGAGTCAGTCAAGTCCAACAAGAGGACATTTACTCAACAACAGTAGTGGATGGAGGGGGCGCTATATCATGAAGTGATAAATGTAGAAAATGTGGAAAACTGGATTCCGACCTAGTCGCTCTATGGTAACGTGCTGGCTGCGGAACCTGAAGGTCCTAGGTTCGATCCCTGGAGGGTGGGGTCGTCGGTACACACACTGCTGGGGAGTCCCATACTAGGACGGAACACCTGTCCAGTGTTCCTGGGTTTTTAATGGTCCTCTAGTTGGTGTCAGTCCGTGGTGAATACCAACCTGAAACCAACTTTATAATGTATGAAGCAATAATGAGACAAAAGTAGGCGAGAAACACAAAGGAGTGAGAATAATATCGGCAACCTAGAAGAACGAGAGTGAAAAAGAGGTAAAAGTAAATTGGTAACACTGAATAAAAGGCAAATATTACAAGTCTATGATCAAGAGAAAGATAAAGTGTAGGTGCAATTGCACTAATGAGACACAGTTAAACTCATATTGATTCTAGTTCCCTCTTGGATCTCAAGAAAATAATGCAAATTTCTCCATATACCCAAAACAAGCAGTTCCAGACTTCATGCAACACTGTTAGGGCTCTGTCCGATGCTACTCTAAATCTTAGCACTATGAGGCTTCAGGGCAGGCGTTTGCCACAACTGTGTAACATATTTTCCAACGATATCAGTCCAGCTTGATAAAACAGGCGTCTGTTTCTCGCTTCGAGTTCGTAAGGTAAACGAAACTCATGGTTGAATATTTGTAAAGATATGTCTCAGAATTGATGCAGTCGTTGAGGTTCACTCATGTTGAACAAGGCCATCACATATTTGAATTCTGTTCATATGTTGTACCTTTTATTATATGCTGATGTGAAATGTAGAAAATTTGACTGCTATTCAGTTATTTCAAGTTCTCTATCTATAATATCTGTAGCTGCCAGTCAACAATATTTCACAATCATGCAAACCGATTTGTTTCTTTTATCCAGTAGTACTATATGTGGAGTTGTGACTTATTGAGCATCTCAAAAAGCTCAGTGGTAACGCCGCTGACTTCAACACTAGGTGACCCAAATTTGAATCTTAATGAGGACACCAATCCCCTTGAGGTTGCAGAATCGCTTAACTGACGAGTACCAACAAGCACGAAACCTAGGTCAGGCAAGGTTTCCTGTTAATCGCCTCCAACCAACTAACGTGAGATTACTGATTTCTCTTTACCAGCGAAGGTGAACAGATGCAAAATGTGTACCAAACATTTCCATTGTCTATTTGCCTATAACGAATTTGTCTACGTGCATTAAATCAACAAATCAACTTTCAGATAGTAAGACAATTCCACCAGAACATAAGTAACAAACTGGAATATGAACGTATAAAAATTCATTCACCAATCATGTGCTTTAGACAATGAAACACACCTTTTGTGTGACGGCTGAATAGTACGACTTGTTTGCTCAGATTTAAGTAAATGAAGAAAGGTTTGAACTCGTAACTCACCAGATGGGAGTTGGTTGCGCAAACCAATGAGTCATAGCTTCTCAGCAACTCCAGTTAGCGCTGGTTAGCAAAATACTCGTCTTGATGAATCCCTTTATAACCAAATACTGTCACAACACCTCTTAGTCGATGGTGTCACCTCCAGGTAGAAAAAAAAGTGGAGTATAAGGTTCTACATCCTAGAAAAAGTCAAAGAAAGAAGTTATGGTAACTGGTTCTTTGACCAATCCTTAAACCCCTCTGGTTTTTTATTCCCAAGATTTGTTTACAATACAAAATTTCTGTCTATAAGGCATAAAATTACTAAGCTATTAAACTGATACATTATTGAATAACTACGTCATCCATCTATAATCGGAAGTAGAAGACTTGAGACATTAAATGAGAGTTATCCACTGCTTATCATGTTCTTTTGGAGAACATATCAACACTCTGATACTACTGATTTTGTTCACTAACTTATTTTTGTTCAGGTTAACTTATTAAGAATTCCATTTCTCCATGCTGTTATAAGGTATATAAACTTTAAGTAATCCCTGTGGATTCTGTGAAAATTACTACTTTAAGAGTTGAATTTATAAGCCAAAATTATATACTAAAAGTAATACTGGTAATTAGAGTAAATTTATTCAAAGTTAAAAAAACCGTATTCATGTTACAGATGGAAGACAATCCAATCACTCAATTTCAGGCAAAGTAAAAACAGCCATTCAACCAGCCAAGCAACCAACAAACCAACAAAAACATATTTTATCATGGATTCACATCAGTTGAAGATCTATTAGAAACTTACAAGCACTAGACAGTAGTTTCAGCCTAGTATGGAACTCCTCAGCAATGGGCATCCATGACCCTGCCACTGATCGAACCCAGCTTTCGCAGATAGAACATTGCTATTCATCCACTGAGTCGGAATCCTATGGTCGACACTTCCTACTTCTGCGCAACCTCTAAACAGTATTATCGTTGATTGACTATTCTCATGTCCGATTTGGTTTACACCACCAGTCACGATTTCACATTAGAACTTTGAGGATCTCACCTTTTCAAACAGGTCATTATTGAGTACTAGATTAATTTGATTCGGAGGTTTTGTGAGCATTTAGTCAATCATTTCAGGTTGGTATTCTAAACCTACAAATTTATTTGGTTATAACATTTTCCTCACATCTGAACTGGGTGTTCCATCATTCCTACTACATATATAAGGTGTTCATTAGATAAACTAAACGTCAGTCATCGATCCTTGTCTCCAACTACTAAAGGTACTTTTTAAAACTGTTACTAAGTCGTATCCTGTTGCATGATTATGTCTGACAGCACGTATGGCTACGGTTGACTTATTTTCTTGATTCCTTATGTTGCTCAGGTCAATCATTTCTTATATGACTTGGTTTTTATTTTCTGCTAACTAGTTTTACCCATATACTTGACCACACCATCACTAAATGGAATTTGGTAGACCAAATTGTTTTGTGTGATAGGATCGTTTGATCGACAAGGTATTTGCTTCGAGATTCAGTTTGTTGGTTGAAATGATACTATGATCGTGACTTTGTTAGGATACCTATGTAGGTATTCTGCTTTCCGGCTTTTACATTGTAAACTGTGAAGGTTTTAGCATCCATCAGCGTTGTTTTATCATTACCACGGTTTGTGTCTATAATTGTATTATTATTGGTGATATTTTTCACACTAGTTACATGAGTTTGTGGATAAACTGTCGCGGGGTAGTCGTTGAGCGACAATATATTATTTTGCGAATATCAGACTACGAAGACTGCCCATAACCCCATTATTATTATTATTATCATTATTATTTCCTTGGGTTCCTAGTGGAACATACGGCTTCAGTAGCACACCTCCATTCCACTCTGTTCTCTGCAGTCTTTTCAACCTGGCTCCACGACTGCCCACAAGCTTTCATTTCTTCTTCACATGATCTCATGCATGTAACCCTCGCCTTGGACGCACAACTCGTCGTTTCCCCGTTGGGTTCCACTCGAGTGACTGGCCTGGCGTGTGATGTCCCCAGTCGGCCTTCTTTAGTGTATGCCCAACCCATCCCCACCTTCTGTCTATCTCTAATCGTGTTTGTTAGCATTTCCTTTTCGACTATTCTACCATTAATTCACACACTATGCACACCATCTTTGTTGTTCACGCGCCTTCGTCAGATTTTCTACTACCTTGAGTTGTAACCACACTCCTGTACTAATATCACGTCGTATTTTGTTTTGCGTTTACTGGTCGATTTTATAGTCTCACTTGTTTCCTGTATTGTTTATTCAGATTGTGAACTTTATCATTCATCTATGTTCCCATACATACGTATGCTGTTTAGGTTTAGAGGATGTATTTGGTGTTGAGTTTACTACTGCGATATGTGGAAGATTTAGAGCACACAAGATGAATCCAATTCATTCTAAAATATTTGCTGTTCTTGTTTTTCAAAAATTCTACTCTAATATATTTTTTTAGATGAATGACACCAGTTGGAGAACTAATGGAAACCTGGAAGCACTAGACAGCAGTTTCGGCATAACATGGGGCTCCTCAGTAGTAGGCACCTACCTCATCAGGGATCGAAATCAGGTCTCACAGCGAACGCATCAACCATTTGGTAACTGGGTTGGAGTTCAGCGGTTCGCAGTTTCCGACTTTTGTCAATTCACGATATAGCGTAACTATTACACAAGGTCTTTAGATGGCATCCGCTTCCCTTCCAAGTGGTTGACCCAGCAGGTCACAGCTTCTCATCAATCTGCAAGTATGTCAGTAATGAGCAGCATAGAGTAATGTATTTTATGATGAATGGGGATTGTAATTAATAATACTCAAAAAATCTACTTTATAAGAATACATTAACTTCAAGGAGTTCAAAACTTGAAAGTAGTGGATAGTTGTTTGGTCCAACAACGAGAGTTTTCACCAGTGCACACCTATGACGCCATCACATACTCCTCGTGAAAAACTGAAGGTCCTGAATCCACACTCTTGAAGAGTACCACACCAGGACGAAAGAGTTGTCCAATACTCTAAGGTTTTCAATAGCCCTCCAACTGGTGTCAATCCATGATGAACACCAACAGGAAGTCAGTCAATAAATCTTTACAAACCTCCAAATTAAATACTATTGTTTTTTTTATAATACATTTAGTGCTGAGATTCACACTCATGAAGCCAAGTAACTCAGTAGCTTCATATCCTATCAGATATGACCAGCAAATGACACCAGTAATGAGCATACTATAGTTTGTTTTTTTCTATCCTAAATTAGCAATACAAAATTAATGACAGCATCTTCAAGGTATTCATTATTAGGTGACTACTTCTCTTAATTTTATCATTCTCTTGTGTATAATCTATTTTCTTTCCCCAACTCTTAAAATCTTATGATATTGCTTATGTTTGAAATGAATAAGTAATGGAAGTACTTTTTTATTTATTTAAAGGTAGGTAATCAATTACTAAGTAGTAATAAACTAAGGTGGATCCCATTTTCTAATAATCTTCATCAATGCCACATAATCTATGCATAACTGTAACGAAACAAATACTTCTGTTCAGATTCTAATTAGGCTGTTGTGTTTAATAATGCAATAAGATGTGGTAGTAGGCAGTTGTTGTTATCATAAACCAGCTAGTCATAAATAATAGGACGTTTTCAAGTACACGACTACTTTTGATAAGAAGCGAGTGAGTGTGAGTATCTCTGTAGCACTACTCGCACATGGTGGAATCCTGGTGTGAGTAATGTTGACATGAGACAAAGGGATACTAGGCAACATAGGCAAGTCGATCGAAGTAGTTGTGAAACTTCATCGATTGAGGTGGCCTAGACATGTACTGTGCATATCGAGTAACCGCCTACCTCGACGTGTCACACCAAAGGGAGTTGGATTAGGTTGAAAGAGGGTTCAGGGTGACCAGATGTCAAAACGTAGCACTAGTTGACGAAGTCTGTGATTGTTGATCTCATCCGTGTAAGGAGATTTAGACTGTATAGTTATGGCACTCGAGATGAAAGGAATCTCAGTGGTTGACGACTGAATCCTCATAAGATAGCTGAAAATCGATTACAATGAGAGTGCAGATGTCTATTTGAGCCTAAATATTTGCACTAGTCTCTATCTTCAGATTGTTTATTCTCTCAAAAAACTTCGTCTACTTTGATATCACACCTTTTCTGTGAAGTGTGGCAACTTGGAAGTAGGCACTTTTGTGCAAGGTTCTACGTTGATTTTGTCTGTCTATCTGCCTATCTATGCATGAGTAAACAAGAGAGAGAGAGACAAGGATAAAAACCAATGATTGGTTGTGGAGAGAAAGTTAGACTAGAAATTTTACCGTCTTCTAAGCATACATCTGTCTAGATCTGTTTCATAAAAGCGACTTCATGTTATAACCATAATGTATAGAAGAACTTACTTTTAACTCCGTTGTATTCTTACCAGTTTTCTGTATCATAGCAGCTGAGCCTAAGATAGTGTTTGCAACTAATTTCTCTGCAGTTGAACGTGGCAATCCTAGGAGAACACCAGCATCTGTAATTGCTTCAGCCACCATATAGATCTACAAGTAGTTGAAAAGATTTTCTTAAAAAGTGACAAGTGTTATCAGATGAAGACAAAAAGTAAACAATAAATACTTCAAGAGAATGTTTGAGAGCTTAAAGGTGAATGGGGATAATTGTGACTTATTCAGTGAAGAGAATTGACAAAAGTCTACAGGACTACTATTTTCTTCTTTCTATTCAAGGGATTTTACGAAAGACAACATTACTGGTCATCAAAGGTTCACAGGCTTGATGCTGAGACTTTGTGCAAGATACTTGAAACCTTGGAGAATTGAACTCAATTTCAATAACCTACAATTCAATCTAAAATTATAGGGCAAATTAATTCCACTATAATATTCATGTAAATGTTATTTTAAGAATAAATGTATGACATAATAAGCCATCATTTTTTTTTGTTGAAGTTTACTTAGTGGCTACCAATGGAATCTGGGACACACGTTTCATCCTGTTTGGGATTCGTCAGGTGGATATAACTTCTCCCCAAAGAGAATTGTTGTTCACACAAGGAGTCGAACCTAGTGCCCATTGCTTCTAGCACCAATACACTATACACCAGATCACTGAGACACAAAAGCCTTCAAGTTTGAAACGGTAATCAATCAATATTCTGGATAGAAATGAAAATTCAGGCTGTATCAAGGCATTCGCATAGGAGCTAGTATGCCAACAGGAACTACTCAATTCGAATTATCCTCTTGTTCACCCCAAGCAAAATATTATGCCGCATCATCTAGAAGCGACTCAAAAATGCTCTGGATTCAAAATTACAACCGGAATAGGTTGGCTGGCTTCACCAAAAACATGTGTGGATCAAATTGCACTACAACTCTACGCATCATCATACAACACAACATAGAATGACAGTCAACTCAACTCTACCTCAACTTCATTGATTTTGAAAAGACATTCGACAGCGTCGGCCAAGAAGTAATTTGGAAACTGCTTCAACACTACGGTTTTAGTGCAACAAACCTTTAACAACATCATTCAACAATTATACGCTATATGATGCTACTTTACGAGTAATTTACAAAAGAAAGTTCAGTGAAGCGTTTGAAGTGAAGACAGGAGTAAGACAAGGTTGCCGCCTACTTTCACCCATCGTCTTCCTGATGGTGATCGGCTGCAACAAACTGTGAAGGGCAAGAAGATGGGCAAACACTGGCCGGACCGATAAAAAAACACCCCAGAAGAAGATTTAGATTTCGCCGATGATTTATGTTTAATGTCGCATAAACTCAATGATCTACAAGCAAAAGCCAACAATTTGGGAGAAGAGGTGAGGCAACGAAGACGGGACTTCCTTCAGGTGAACGTAGAGAAGGCAGAGGTGAGGAAGATACCCAACCACCATCACCACCACCACCAACAACAACAACAACAACAAGCACCAATCGCCATCAACGGCAGAAATCTAAACGAAGTTGTCTCTTTCACCGACCTAGGTAAGACAGCATCGTCTCAACTACAGGCAGTGGCGGCGGCACAGATGAGGATGTCAAAACCAGGATAGGAAAAGCAAGACACGGCTTCCTTCATTAATCTGAAATCAGTGTGCAGATCTACAGCACTCCACTCAGCGTAAAGCGTGAACAAGATCCGGATTTTCAACACTAATTCACTCAAGTCAGTGCTTCTATGTGATGGTTGAGAGACTTGGCAGTGCGTCACGAAAAGCATTTCCAACAATCTGCAGACATACATGAACAACTGTCGTTTACGCCCTCTCGATACTGACACTGACATTGACACTGAAGATCAGATAGATGGTGAGAAAGAATAAGCAACAATAAACTCACTCTGGCTGGCTGGCAACAAACCAACCAACAACCTATCGCCCAACAAATATGCAGAAGAAAGTGGAGATGGATTGGACTGGATTGGACTGGACTGGACTGGAAATACACTGAGAACATTTGGGTACACCACGGGTCAGATCACACCCTGGAGTGGGAGCTGAGTGGGAAACTATGAGTTGGGCGTCCAAGGCGAGGGTGACATGGAGGAGATGGTGTGAGGAAGAAATGAAAGGTTGTGGGCAGTCGTGGCGCCAGGTTGAGAAGACTGCAAGGAACAGAGTGAAATGGCGATGTGCTACTGAAGCCGTATATTCCACTAGGAATCCAAGGGACAAATGATAATGATAAATAATAATATAACAAGGAGTTATGCCAATAAATAACAAATGATACCCAAGAGACAGATCTCATGCTACAATGGCTAAGTGGATAACATTTCGATATTTGAAAGAATAGATGTTACGTTCGAGTCTCGGTGTGGACACCATCATTCAGTAGAGTGCAGCTAGTCCAATGACAATAAATTAAGAGATTTTTATTCTACCAACATTATAAAATCACCCTAGAAGAAAATAATAAACTTTGTTTTTCTTTAATTTTGTATCGTTAACTAGTCTGTCTCAATTCTAAAATACGGCTATAAGTTGGAAACATTATTTTGTCTAGAATATTTAGTAATTCAATCAAAAATAATGATGTTTTAGGGAAGAGTGTGTGTGTGTGTGACGAAGCAAATATATATATATATATATATATATATATATATATATATATATATATAAGTGCAAAGAGAAACAAAGAACTTTATGCATGAATCAGAAGTAATTACATAGAAGAATGAATGAACTAAGCATACATATATAAGGTATGATTAACCTTAAGTTATTTATAATAGCGCAATAAATGTAATGCATAGTAATATGATTTCATAGTTTCTTTTCTTGATAAACGAAAAAGGAATTACATATAAAATAACATATCAAAGAATACTAGGTGATGATTGGAGGTGAAATGGAAATCTAAGCCGCTGGAGGACTCGAATCAAAAACCATAGGATTTTCGACCCTCTGCTCTACCAACTGAGCTATGATACCCTATTCCTGACTGTATTTTGTTAGAATGAAAACTTCAGATATTGAAGATTCTATGGCAAAAAGAGCGAATGGGATTTCACTTGGTGTTCAGAGTCATCTAACTATCAAAATCCGCTTTTAGTTCCCCACTGAACCACAGTTCCACTGAGTTCAATGTAGTTTAAGTCAACGGAAGACCATAGAGTATTCATAAACCAGTTTCTTTTGATATGAAACTCCGTGGAGTTGAACACCTTCAGTGGAATTCGAATTGCTACTAAGTAATCAGTTTAAGTCTAGAGACAATCATTGTTCAAGATTTATATAGGGATTGAAAATGGAAAGGGTGTTTAGAGATTATGAAGGCAAAATTAGAAGATCAGAAAATTAAATTAACCTAATAGTCATTTGCGTACCAAAGTATGCGAAATATCTTGCATGTACAAATCAGTGACTGAATGATGCTATGCAACGCAGGTTCTAAGTAACAGGACACCTCGACGCATGCTATGAGGTTCTAATACTCGATGGAACATATGAATCCTCAAGTTTACGGATATACCATACCGATGTACCAGTATTCATTAAAGCTATTTTCACGGCGTCATTCTGGTTGGCGACACTTTTTTGAATCAAATAGTTCGAGATGGAAAAAGGCGATGTTTAACGCGTGACCAAATGACTTTGTTAAATATCACAGTTTTACCAACAACCTTAAAATAACTTAATTGTTGCTATTTTCGCGATTTTTGGGGCTATGGCTAGGTTTTGCTTTTCCACTGCTTTTGGAGGCTGAATTTCCATTGGTTGTTAACTAACTAGTGAATTTGGTGTTTGTCAAGATCCGTTAGAATGTATATATTCGGCATCGCTGTCAACTGTTTTGTCTGTTGTTGAAGCAGTAAAAAGTCTCTGTTAACCGTCCATCTCCCCTTCTTGTCTTCACTTGTCGGTAGTATTGTTGTTGTGGTGGTAGTCAAGGTTCTGATAAGCGATTAGGAAAGGTTCTTTGCGCATTAGGTTCTTATTCTTCGTAGACTGCTAGATTGCATTATTAGTTACAGCAGATGGGTAGCGCACTGTTGACATCAGCTAGTCATATGCCCATGTCCTCTACAGTGAATATTATACGATGAGTGAGTCGTTCAGAAAACGGTTATTACAAAATTCGAAACTCAGATGGTACTGTTGTCAGCACGAATGTTGAAGCAGAAAGATCATACCGTAATGATTGAAGGTGAATCGAAAATTTGCACCGCGGCGACATTCGAACAAGTGACCATCGGCTTCCTAGCCCACTGCTCTACCAAGTGAGCTGTAAAACCCGATTGCTGAAACAAGTTTTATTTCACTTTAATCACTACGAGTTTTGACCGACTACTATGTGAATTTGAGACGCGTTACTACCGCTTGATCGTAATCATACTGTCTGCCATCGGACAGCCAGTGATCGCTGGTTCAAATCCTTCCGCAACCCAAATTTTCATTTCATCTTCGATCATCACGTAGTATTGCTAATAGCATGCCTGGTAGTCAAAATTCCAAAACCTCATTTACAAAAGCATAAATTAGTGCGGCATCACATATACGGCAACCAATGTAGGCTTTAGAAGATCTAAATGTAAATGGTACCTAAAAAATTGCATAATACAGTAACAAAGTGACCAACAACATGGGAATAAGATCAGGATAAAGTTGAGTGACACAAGGAAGTCGTGATCATATCAGGAACAGATGATAAAAAGGGAAAACCACGAATCTCGCTACGAAGCTAAATAATTGTCTTTTTGAATGTCAGCATTAGTTCTAAACGGATGTTTGAAGTGATAAAAAAAAGGGAAAGAAGAATCATAAGAGTACATAAGTGAGTGTTATAGTGTAAAGTGTTATGCAATAAATATGCAGGTTCGATCGAGGCTTTTGCATACGAGCTCATATGCTGACAGAGGTCAATGATGGAGAATATTTGAAGCTCAAGAAAATAATTTTCTTGGTGTTGAGTTCTCTGAGTCGAATGGTTTAATCGTGAAGTTTTCATTGTCATTCTAGACATCATTAGCACAAACTTCAGAAAGAAGTGAGCTATAGGGTTTAGTTGCTTGTTCTGATAACCTTTTACCT